CAGGATGGACTTGTTGGTTGGGGATTACAGGATGGACTTGTTGGTTGGGGATTAGAGGATGGACTTGTTGGTTGGGGATTACAGGATGGACTTGTTGGTTGGGGTTTACAGGATGGACTTGTTGAATGGAGGGTCAGAGGATGGACTTGTTGGTTGGGGATTACAGGATGGACTTGTTGGTTGGGGATTACAGGATGGACATTAATAGTTAGTTAGTTGGTTTCATGTCTGGTTTACCACCAAATGATGAAGTTCCAAAATACTATGATAGTAATGTTTTGTCTTATTGCAGAGGCCTGTTTCAAGTTGTAAAATGACGTGTGTCCCATTCTGCTTCCTGAGGATTGTAGGTTTTGGGTCTCACAGCACATTTAAAGCTTTCTGACTCAATGAAGCAAAAACAATGTAGATGCAGTGAGATGAGTGAGGGCAGACAAGTGAACAGCTCACATAATGCCCTCTGCAACAGTGAACAACCAAAACACAAACAGGGAGACAAAGAGACAAACAAAACAACAAGAAGACTTTTCTGCAGCATACCTTTGTGGCACTGCGGAGGTGATCATAATAGACCTCTTCTATGGCCTGAAAGTAGATTACACCCTTCAGCTTGGTCTCATGTTTGTCTGCAGGGAGGAAAAATACACAGTTTGAGTCAAAAACTGATCCGTTTTGACAACAACTTGGCTGGAGAATTCAAAGCACACCTTCATCAAATCAGCTACAATAACAACCACAGATAGACTGGCATTAGAGGGAAAACAGAAGAGTCAAACTTTGATCATGACCAGTTTATGGTTCGTGATGATGGATGGGAAAAGACAAGCACAGCATTTTTTTTCCTTCAGTTTTTTAAAGCTGTGCTGCTCTTATTGTGTTTTCAGACTTGACTGCATTCTTACGCTCCTCTGGTACATCATTGCAGTTTGTTTCATCAGCCACTGCAGAACTGCAGTCAGGAACCGGTAGGGAACTCAACAGCCCTCTTTACCTCCAGGCAAAAAAACACTCCACAAGCCAACTTAAGGAGTAGTAGGTAGAACCGCAGCGCCTTCATTTCGAGGAACAACATGCAGTTATTATCTTCTGCTAATGACCTCTTTAGCATTCAAACAGAAATTCATCTGCATCTCATTTGGTTACATTTAAATATGCAGAGCCCTGCCAGCGCTGCAGGTTGATTAACAGGAATTAGCATCGCTCATCACCTCGTTACTCAGCGTTCAAGGTCAGGAAACAGGGCAGAGCGCCGCATGTCGATCAGCCTCCTCAAAGAGCGCGGCGCCGGGCACGTTCCAGCTCCTGCCACACTAATCTCAGCACGCCTCCTCGGCCTGGCTCCCTTTCAACAAGGTGCACTCTAAGCTGCTTTGAGCGGAACCTTCGGAGTACTTCAAAGGTCTGAACGAGTGTCCCACAGCTCGAGAAACCACGTCAAATTACACAACCGTGTGAGCGCGGCGCGACATGTCACCCTGCTGTAGGTGTTGAGGACACATGTTCTGTCACAGCACAACGTTTCTGCCACTTTACATGTTACAGACGCTCTGCAGCCACAGCTTCTCACATTTCCATACAAATATCATTTAACTGACTGATGCAACACAACACAACCTTAAAGTTTCCAAAACAAAATCCTCCAGCACGCACACTTCATGCGTCAACAGCCCCAATTAGGAGTGAGTGAAGAAAACAAAATCAGCACTGTGGAATATTAAACGCTAAGATTTTTTTAACTTAACTACATTTACTGGACAGATTTATTGTCCAATTTCAAAATAAATACAAAAGTTAAATAATGGATGATGGATATTTTTATTGGATTTACAGGTATGTGTGTTCATGTGAATATACAGCTGGAGTCAACTACAAGCTAGATGACCACTGCAGCTAACCGTGGTTTGTTTGTTCGTTCGTTCGTAACCAGCTGCAGTAATAAACACTGAAGTACCAGAACTGAAAATCACAGTATTGTAGCATGCACTCACAGAAACAATACAAGACAAGTACACAGGTGTTTACATTTCAAGCAGCATCAGTCCTGACTGGTAAACTAAACTCCTGTGGAAAAACAACACAAAAAAACTGCCTTTGTTTTTATCTGCATTCAAACTGCTTCTTCACCAAATGAAGACTTTGTGAAAAACCTTCAGCCTTTTGTATCTTGGCTGCAATAACTACATCACTGCTACCATAAAAATGATCATTTCCAATGCAAATGTTATACCTAGAGTCAAAAAGAAAAAAATAAGTAGGTCCTCTGGATGAGTTCTTCTCTAGTGAAACACAAACCAGTCATCATTCCATATGTGGAGGGAGTTTCAGAGAAACTGAGACGTTTATTCTCTAAACATGACATCACAGTGGCTTTCAAACCCCAAAACACGTTACGACAAAGATTAGTTCACCCTGAAGATCCAGTTCCCTGGCAAAAACAGAGTAATATAGTGTATGCTGTTAAGTGTCAGGAGGACTGTGATCAGTCATACATTGAAGAAACAAAACAGCCACTGTTCAAAAGAATGAGCCAGCACAGATGATCTACATCGTCGGGACAGGACTCTGCAGTTTACACTCATCTACAGGTCAGGATTCTGCAGTTTACACTCACCTACAGGTCAGGACTCTGCAGTTTAGACTCATCTACAGGTCAGGATTCTGAAGTTTACACTCATTTACAGGTCAGGACTCTGCAGGTTACACTCATTTACAGGTCAGGATTCTGCAGTTTACACTCACCTACAGGTCAGGACTCTGCAGGTTACACTCATTTACAGGTCAGGATTCTGCAGTTTACACTCACCTACAGGTCAGGACTCTGCAGGTTACACTCATTTACAGGTCAGGATTCTGCAGTTTACACTCACCTACAGGTCAGGACTCTGCAGGTTACACTCATTTACAGGTCAGGATTCTGCAGTTTACACTCACCTACAGGTCAGGACTCTGCAGGTTACACTCATTTACAGGTCAGGATTCTGCAGTTTACACTCACCTACAGGTCAGGACTCTGCAGGTTACACTCATTTACAGGTCAGGATTCTGCAGTTTACACTCACCTACAGGTCAGGACTCTGCAGGTTACACTCATTT